CAGAGAACAGAATGAGTGCCCAGCAATGGACTGAAGCCGGCACGAGTGCTCCGAAGCGGCCGAAGGAGGCTCGATGGGTCGGAAAAGTTATGGCGTCGGTTTTCTGGGATTGTCATGGCATACTCTTCGTGGACTACCTTTAAAAGGAAAAACGATCAACAGCGAGTATTACTGTGCATTATTGGAGCAATTGAAGGCCGAATTCGCTGCAAAACGGCCTCACATGAAGCGAAATTTTGTTTTTGTTTTTGCAAGACAATGCACCGGAGCACAAGAGCATCGCGACCACGGCTAAAATCAATGACTTACGGTTCCAATTGCTTCCACATCCACCGTATTCGCCCGATTTGGCTCCCTCAGACTATTATCTTTTCCCAAACCTCAAAAGATGGCTCATCGATAAGAAATTCAGCTCGACGCCGCGGAGGAGTATTTTGCAGACCTTCCGGAAAATTACTTTTAGGACGGGATCATGAAGTTGGAAAATCGCTGAAATAAGTGTATTGAGCTAAAAGGGGACTATATTGAATAAAAAAAAACATAAAAAAAAATCATTCCCAAGGATGTTACTTTTCATCCCACTTTGTTTATATTCTTAATTCAACATCGTGATGACAGGCTATGGGAACGAACAAAATATAATTGTGCTCAGAAAACGGAGCTCTTTCAGACGATGTAAAAACCGAAACATTTTTCAAAATTGATGAACCTAATTAAAAACATATTTTGAAGTCTGAAATATGAAATGTTTGAAATATATCTATGTTCCATGTAAATTATTTGAAGCGTTCTAGACTAAATCGATAGGTTGAGGATAGAAATTGATGTATAAAACAATGAGGTCCACGTAATAACCTTTTAAATTTCAGACTAAGTCATTTTTTTGAAAATTACATTCATTATTTTTGGGATTGGATTTTTTAAATTTTAGGATTCTGCAAAGCATTGGCTTGAGCAACGTTTCTCAATCTGCCCTCACGAAATTTAAAAATTGCATGCAGAATTTATCTGATTTTAAAATTATGCTGGGATAATCCATTTCAAGTCCATTTAAGAATTATACAGCCAGTTTGGAAAGTCTATTCCATTTTAACTTATTTCGAACATTTTTGTCGTTTTTAGGGTCATTTTAACATTTCAAGATTTTAAGTCCTTTTCCGTCGCGATTTCAAGTATTTTCTTTTTGGTTTTTATGGTCATTTTGGGTTTTTAAGTAGTCTCTAGTCGTTTTTACAACGATATGAGGTGGTTTTCAAATTAGTTTCAATACTACATTATTGATTTGATACTACTCATGCGTTTAGATATCTCAGTGTTTTAGATCGTTTTCGAACATGTGAGTTTTTGGATTGATTTTTTGATAATCACAATCTCGTGGTATCCAGCAATTTAGCATTGTTTGGCTGTTTTTGGCGATTCATGCCGTTAAAATGCCATGGCTATTTTTTGGCATTTTTTAAATGATTTTGGCCTTAGAACATCTGCATTTAATATTGGTGGGTTGCGAGCTTATATAAAACTTAAAAGTGGGTCGTAATATAAAAAAAAGTTTAAGAGCCGTTGGGCTAGAGGAGATCCTCCTCGAGAGCATTTTGAAACACATTTCAAGGATATTATTTGGAAAATTTATTTGGAATTCTGTGATTTCTGTGAAATTTCAAAATATTAGTTTTCTAAGTTTACAATGCAATATTAAGAGATTTCCAGGAATATTACAAGTGAACTATAATGATTTTAATGGGTTGAAATTGAGAAAAAGCCTCGCGAGAATATTCAAGAATACAAAGATAAACATAGAGTGAATTTCAAGAATTTTTTGGAGTGGCATCCAAAAGTGTTTTACACAGAATTCCGATGATCATGGAGAAAATTTCTAGGAAATACCGGACAAAATCATACGATTATTGAAGGGAATCCTGAAAGAAAAATTAATTCTCATGAAATTTGGAAATGAGATATTCTGAGATAAGTTTCAAAATAATAATTTAGTCGAGTTTTAGTTTTAGAATTTTAGCACACACAAATTCAAGTTCCAGGATTACAAAAAATTGTCAAGATTTTGAGACTTTAGTTGAAAACATATTTCAAGACCCTGGTCTTAAAAAAACTGTTCAAGATTGTGGGGCTGGGCTCAAAATTCCAAGAGCAATATTCACGATACCAAACTATGAATATTTATTTACAAAAAATATAATAAAGTTCCAATAAAATTCCTGTTTATTTTCTAGTTTTTCCTGGTTGCTTTTGATTTCCAGTTCTCTCAGTTTTCCCGATTTAGTGAGCATACCCTTAATATTAACAATGCTCCCATGCACTGAAACATAATTTGAAAAATTAGTGTGGGTCTAGGATAAGAGAAAATGGCTGGCTGGCAGGGATGTAAAATCATTTACATTCAATTCGTGCATTCATTTACATTCATTTGCCTCTAACTTTTTTCATCAACAGAATACCGTAGAATGATGCATAAAACTTTTGTAGCTTTTGATATTTGCTACAACTTTTTTTAATAACTAAAATCTGAATCTCTTATGCATGACGAACTAGAGCTGGCAGAACATGTTATTGTTTTTCAGTGAATGCAATTTACATTCACTGAAAAACAATGGTGGGTTCGTCTCGTTCTGATTCATCATGCATAAGAGATACTGATTTGAGTTCTTTACAAAAGATATAGCTAATACCAAAGCCTACAAAAGCTTCAAACACTATTTTACGGAATTCTGTTTGAGAAAAAAGTTAGAGGTAAATGAATGTAAATGAATGCACGAAATGAATGTAAATGATTTTCCATCCCCGCTGGCTGGTGTTGAGCCAAAATAACTGTCAAAGCCAGACCCAGTCGAGCAGCGCTTCTCTTGATTGCTTGGCAGTATTGCTAGAAACCGTTGAGACATAGGTTGCCATGGTAGTTTGTTTTGAATCGTTTCTATTAGTGGTACCTATGCGACAGATGGCTAGGTGATTTCTAGCAACACTGCCAATGCTATCTAGATAGCGCTACTCGATTAGCTATGGCTTTGACAGTTCATTTTGCTCAAAACCAGCCAGTCCACTCTTCTCTTATACTAGACCCTCTCTAGTTTTTATCATCCTACATCTTATTTAAAAGCTAGCAAATTTGGGCATAATCAACCCAGATTGGTCAAAAGTAAACTTACCTAAAAATGGGTAAAGTAAACTTGAAGTGACAAGTTGATAAATGTCGTTCAATGTAAACTTCAACTTGACATTGGGGATGATTTCCAATATATCCACAGACCACTACTACGTCATCTCGGATAGTCTAAGTTCAACTGAGGTTCTTCAGTTGTTGAAACCTGGTAGGCACTCATCTTATGTCCTTTCAAAAGTAAGGGAGCAGATGATTGAGCTGGTCGAGAAATAGTATACATATGTCTACCGTTGAATGGGTCGTTCCGTTTCGAGTTGGCATACCGATTGGGACACTGGAAATCTTGGACGGTAGTTACATTCAATTATACTCAACTCTGTTCTTACGCAATTTTAATTTTTTAGATTTTGCAATCATGCAGGATAGATACAACTTTTTTTAAATCACCATATTTTTCTTTGATTTTTTTTAAATCGCGTAAAAACAGATTTTTTTCCTTCAATCTAGTTTTCCATGCTGTGCACAAATGCTACCGACGCCAGGGAGGCAGCTCCCACACCTGGACCTTACCTATCGACCCATCAAATCATGAACCGGGGACCAACGGCTTTACTTCCAACAACTGATCAGAGATGTTATGCCTCAGAACACCCCGGCGGCGCCGACTGGGATTGAAGATAATCACTCTTACCACTACACCACCGGCGCCGCTACGCGTAAAAACAGATTGAGTGTATTTCTAATGTTTCTTCGAGAGCGTGGTTTAAAGGCTTAAGGCCCACGCACATTAGATTCGGATCGGACGCGTTGCAGCAATGTGACAGCTAAATCTATTGTCTAACTGTCAAATTTACGTCAAAGCAACGCAAACGGATCTAATGTGGGTGGCCCTTTAGACGTAAGTCTTGACTTCATTCGCGGGATATGAATAGATTTATGTCCAACCACAACTCGCCAGATGCCATAGAATAAACTTCGTTATAGTGCTGGCGAGAACTCTCTGATGAGAATACGATACCCCATTTCCACGCTCCTCCCCTGATCCTTCCCTCATAAATGTTATCTTTTTATCCTCGAGTAAACCGCGAGTAATCGGTCCACCACTACTATACGCTATATTAAGTTATTCTTGTTAAACTACGAACAATTAAATATTGGCTCCGTAAAGCTATCGTGATTGAGTGGAAGGCAATAAATGAATTGAAAAAGAGTGAACTAGCTAATATGTACACGGGAAAAAATCCGATTCCATTTTCATGAATAAAAAATCATGCAATAAAAAAACTTGCCATCCCATAAAATCATAACAATGATTCATGATTTCGTTATGGAAATTCATGATTTCATAATGCAGCGGAATCATGACCGCTTCAAGCGTTACCTGGAAAACCGTGTTCACCGCACTACATAGACATCTCTTATACGCCTTTTGCCTTCCACCTTATACAAGTACTGATAGTTTAGTGATCAAAATATGGGTTTAGTGATCGTAAGATTCTTGGTTCGAATCCAGGCTGATGCTTTTTTTTACATGTTTTGGTTTAGAAACTAAAAGTTAAACTCATGAATTTCGTTCATGGTTTTAGCTTGGATGATTCATGATTTCGAGAATCTTGGGTGCGTTACGCATACATAGCTCATGACATCATTAATATTATTCATGGTATATTTTTATAACATGAAAATACGCTATGTTCATGAAATCATGAGTAATTTTTCTCATTTCTGATTTTTGATTTGTTCCCGTGTACCTTGTAAATAGCATTTAGTTTAATCATCATACACAGCATCTCAAATTGTTATACATTGCATAACATTATTCAACCTAAATCAATGTCCATCGAAATCCCACCAATCTAAACTACTTTCCATCTCTTCATTTTAGGGGCCGGTGAATCTGGAAAAAGCACAATCGTAAAACAGATGAAGTAAGTATGAGCGATCCTCTTGAGATATCTTTCTAGCATCTTTAATTGTTCCAACATACTTAGTTTTTCTTTGATCATACTGCCGACAAACGTTCGATTTATGTAGAACACATTAAATTATTATTCCTGGTTCGAATATTTTTGTTTTCACTTTACTTTTGTGAGAGGTTATTCTATTTTAAAACACATTACTTTGTTCAGTTATAATACATGTATATGTATTTTGCCAGACACGTAAAAAATACAATGCTATGCTGATTTTAAGCGTAATCCACTTGCATGCTTGGCATGCACAGTTGTACACACCATCTGCTCATTTGTTAATAACTTTTCACTCAGTTGTTGAAATTTGTTTTTCTTTAAAGTAATTGATAGATTAGAATCATAGCTTAGTATAGATATGCAAAGAGTAGGTAAATCTTAACATTTGAATCAACACCAATTAATGTTTACAGCTCAAGTCCGAGATGAGCAGCGAGCATTTCTCAATTAATTTTTAAAACGCAAATACAAATACAGCTTATTACTTTTTTTTACGTATCTATAACAAGCTTAAACTCTATTCTATCTACTGCTTCAAAAAAAAAACTATGTTTCGTTAACTGTGTGTAAAGTTATTAGCAAATGAGCAGTTCGTGGCCAAAACTGTGTATGCCAAGCATGTCCAGATGTTTCATAAAAGCGATGGAAGGACAAATTGGATTGTTGATTCTCATATCCATCTGAAGGGGTACCCTGCTGGGTAACGGAATCATAATATGAGTTGACATTTGCTGTCAACTTAGTTCATTATTCCATTGATCGATTTTCAGTTGGAGTTCCATGAATCTATTGTTCATGGCACATCCTTCCGGAGCATGAAACAAATAAACGAATGCGAGAAAGGGGAAAGTTCGGAAGTCATGACATAAATACAACTATTGAATAATTTTCGTCAAATTTATGATAATATTTCACCGCGCATATAAATAAACTTCTTTTTTTCTCCTACTCTACCACCTCGCTAACCACATAGACGTGTATTCACGAGACCTATGACGACTGGTTTGGAAAGTCGGGCGAAACACGCGATCGCGTCAATTTTCACCAAAGTGGGTTTGGATGGTGCATAAAATTTATTAGCTCCTTTTTGCGTAGGGGAAAGTAGTCAACACTTAGACAGCAGGAACAGTGAGCCAACGGGAATATATTGGTCATAAAAGTGTTAATTTTTTTTGATATTTTCCTAGAAAGTGAAGTTTGTCATGCTATATCACGTGATGTATGTAGCTTTTTAATGTATAATTTTGAAAAAAAAATTGTTCTAGGTGGGGTCACACTTAATTTTGTTGCAATCCATTTCAAGTTAATTTAAACAATAAAACGCTTATTTAATCAAAAGTTAATTTACTTAATACTATTGCATAGTAATAAGGTTGTACAATCATAAGTGATGAAAATGATATTGTTTGATTAATACTACTGTTTTACTACAGTATGACCCATAAAAAAATGCGACATTGATTACAGCTTATTTTTGGGTTTATTTTAAAACTGTTTTTACCACTATTTTATATGCGTGTATTCGTTAGAATCTCTACTGTCAAGTGATGTAAACAAAACAGTGATTTTCGTTTTAAAAGTTTGCAAAAATGTACGCAAAAGAAATTGTTACCAGTTTGCTTCTCGCCCAAAAGTCAGTGAAAGAGATAACAAAGATCGTAGGATGCCACCGGTCCACTGTTCATCGAATTAAACGTTCTCTCCTTGCTGGACCACATCCACGGAAGCCAGGAAGTGGACGTCCGCGATCGGCACGCACTCCAGGGGTCATCAGATCGGTCAAAAGAAAAATAACGGTGAATCCGGTAAGATCGATCCGGAAATTGGCAAAACAAGCCAATATCTCCAACACCTCGATGCAACGGTTGGTCAAAGATGACTTGAAGGCTTCGTCTAGGGCTAGAGTGAAGCGCCACCTGATAACGAACCGGATTAAGGGACTGCGGCTTGAGAGATCTAAGCGGCTTCTCTCCATCTTGAAGAAGAAAAAACCAATAATCGTGTTCTCTGACGAAAAACTTTTCAACATCGATCCGGTGTCCAACACGCGCACTGACCGGTTTATTTCGCCGAAGAAGATCGAGGAGGTTCCTGAGAACATAAAATTTAAGTTTACCACCAAGCATCCTGCAGGAGTTATGGTTTTCGGAGCAGTCGCGTCCAACGGCTTGAAAATGCCTCCGGTATTCATCAAAGAGGGTCTAAAAGTGAATACGGAGGTCTACATCGGCATTTTGAAGGACCATCTGATGCCATGGATTAAGGTCAACTTTGGAGAAGACCAATTAATCGTTTTCCAGCAGGATGGAGCGCCCTGCCATACTTCTAACAGGACCCAAGCTTGGCTCACCGAGAACCTGAATTTTTGGTCGAAGGAGCTTTGGCCCCCCAGCAGCCCGGACTTGAATCCATTGGATTATTCAATATGGGCCTATGTTCAGGCTAAGGCCTGTGAAACCCCCCATCCCAGTGTGGATTCGCTCAAGTCATCCATTCGCAAGGCATGGAACTCGATGCCAGCGTCATATATTACGACCGTGTGTTCCAGATTTCGACCCCGCCTGGAGCAGGTGATCGAGAACCAGGGAGGACACATTGAATAAATGTATTCAAAACATGTCAAATAAACATGGGAAAGCAAAAATATATTTGTTTCAATCAGCAGTTTAGAAGGAATCACATTTAATTGGAAAAAATGTCCCATGTCGCATTTTTTTATGGGTCATACTGTATGTTTTCATAAAACATACCTGTGGAGAACAGTGAGACATGCTAGTGATATGAATACCTTTTTTTGTTAATAGGGAAAACAGTTTTATTGATACAGGGATCGTCAATTTATTACGTCATGCACAAGGCCCATTTTCAAGCCCCTTAATATTTCTTTCATGAATCGTCACGGTTTCCAAACCCTCTTCCCCGTGACGTAGTTTATGTTCGTTCTACTACTCGATAAACTACACGATTAATCAAATATAATTTATTGTATACTCGAACAATAGTTTTATGATTTGAACCATATTAAAACATGTGTCTCAATGTTCAAGACTCTTTGTGCACTGTTCCTGCGAAGACCGGAATAATGAGACAAAATTTCATCTTGTGGTTGTTACTAAATTAGATTACAACCAATCTGCCTGAAACATTTTTAAGCCAACTAGAAACCTATACCATTCGAATGCATTCAAGGACTTGTTCGTTACTTTCATAACAATTTTTTTTTTAATAGTCGAACAAAAATTGACTCACTGTTGACTACTTTCCCCTACATTTCCCTTCATTTTTTGCCAAGCACACTACCAACATGAAGTCTGTCACGGAAGCTTATTGATTTTGGTGTGGACTTTCTTTGCTACCCTCTTTTGTTTTCAAATTATGGTAGCAGACATGAACTATGCATAACGGATAGGAGCGCTGGTGCTGAAGGAATGGATCATGAGTTGGATTTAACGGGAACAATTTAATGCTCGAATATTGCAATGTGCTTAATTACATATAGGATAGGTGTACCAGATATGGCTATACGTGCCTATTACGGTGTGTCTCAATTTACTAACAACATTTCCTTCGTGATTAAAAACAAAATTTCTTATTTGTGCCGACGACATGAAGCTCTTTTTTGAAATAAGGAACAAAGAAGGCAGCGAGATATTCCAGAATAAAATACACTTTTTTTATATTTGGTGTAGCAAAAGCCATTTACAACTGAACGTACAAAAATGTAGTTCAATCAGTGGCGTTTCCTTAACCTCAATCTACCTGTGCACTAACTCTCAAAACATGAACAATTATCCGATTCGAGTATGAATATGGTATTCAATCTGGTTTTGAAAGTTGGTGCACAGGAAAAAAATTACGGTTACGGGACGCCACTGAATTCAATACCTTTTATTAGTAGGAAACGAAATACACAAGTCATAATAATCGCGCTAGGAAGTCAGCAAGTAGACAAATGTCAAAGAGTGAGGGATTTAGGAGTTTTTTTTTCTTGATTTTCGTCGATCTTTTTTTTCAATGGCTTTACTTCCCACTTCCGAAGGCTTGGTCAGAGATTTAATGCCTTAGAAAATCCCGGTCCCGGCCGACTGGGATTGAACCAAGGCCCTTTGGCGTGTGAAGCAATGATGCTTAGCACTACTCCATTGTCGCCGCTTTTCGGAGTTAGGTTAGATTCCAAACTAACATTCATTGACCATTTTAATACAATCACCAACAGAACAAATCATTGGATTTAGGCACACATTACAAACATTAAATATTGCCTATGTAAGGTCAATACTGGAATATTCTAGTGTAGTCTGGTAACCTTTTTCAGTCACGTAAGAAGAACGAAAAAAAAAAATAGTACAGCATCAATTTTTGTTTTTGGAACTTTGTAAATTAGGTTGGACTTCCATCATGTGAATCCCGCCTAATGCTCATCAGCATTTGCAATGGTCTCATTTGTAAATGATATAGTTTGGCATCGCATAGATTCAATAGAACTTCTATTAAAACCTAATTTTTACATACCCTACATACATACAGTCTGCAGAAGTTCAAGATCGGATAGGATGATTTGTATAGTCCAACAATGTTATTTTTAAATACATTCAATAATTTTTAATTATGTTATGAATCTCCGTGAAGTAAAAAATTCTCAAATATTCTGAACGGACATCGAACAAGATTTAAATGAACCTATAAAATATCTCCAAGAAAATTTGGAGAATGGTTGATATTTTGGTAACACATCTTTGTATTCTATAAAGTGTTGTTTGGCTTATAGAACTTAAAGATCTAAACTCCAGGAAGAACTTTTAATACTGCGTTTCTCCTGTTCAGGTCTCCTGTATTGGTATATGCTTTTGTTGACATACCAAAGCAACATTTAGGCTCATTTTTTTCCAGTGAGACTCTTTGATTTTATACAAATTCACGATTCCATGAGATTTTGGAGATCTAGATCATCGACATGT